TGTTTATTATTTAAAGTTTTACGTCCGATTTGCTCCTTTTTTCCTCTCTGTACACAGCTCCAGTTTGGGCATTGGCCTGTCATCAGATTTCATTTTTAGTTGCTGCTGCCTGTAGCGGAAGTTTAGTAAAATAATTTTTGATGAAATACACCAAATCTCCACCCTCCATAATTGCACTTGCTTCAGTTACTTGCTACTTTTTAAGGGCGGTTACAGTACGAACTGAAGTTGATGCGATTTGATTGGATTGTGTGGCATGACGTGAGCCTCATCTGATTGGTCAATCCCGATTCCCTCAATTTTTTTTCACCAAGGGAAGCCAATTTCGACTAGCCTCCTCTCGCAACAGAGTGTGCAATCTACTGTTTCATCATAACATCTAGAGGGGCGCTATTTCACTCTTTGTAAAATACTCAATGAGAATGGGGGAGAGATGGTACGGCAGAATAATTACCGAAACTAAACAAAGTGTTTTTATTTATTTATTAAAATTATAACTACAATCCAAAAAAACTGGGGAAGCCTGGCTTCCCTTGGCCTCCAGGAGAAAACACCACTGAGTTCAAGGGATAATTCTCACCCACCTTTTGCTCTTGCCCTGCACTTGTATGTGCCAGTTGAGATGGTTCTTCCAGCAGCTCAACTCTGTCCCTCATCATGAACGCAGGAGGCTGGCTGTATATCTGAACTCGCGCCCTCATCATTCTCTTCATCATCTTGCACTTGTTCTAAACTGCTGCCAAAATGGTCTGTCAATTTGCGACATTTATATGCTTCACCTGCGAGTGACTTCACCTTTTTTTCTCTTGCCTTCTCGGCCCCACCTTTTCCTTTTCGTTTTCTTTGATTTTTATCCATATCTTTTCATTCTCCCTGTCTGCCGCGGCGTCTATCCATGGATCTATAATAAGAACTGGATACAGCGTGGGAGGCGGGGCCTCATTCATTCCTAGAGTTGCTCATTAGCGCATGATGATAAAATGGCCCAACTTTTGAGAGAGTGAAACGTCACAGATTACACGGCATGCCTGAGAAGTACCCGTATGTGCACTCATAGAGCATGCGCAACTTTAACCAAAATGTAAATCAAGCACGTCAATTTACGTACACGTAACAGCACCGTGCGTTCATGACAGCATGGTAATGGATTGTTATTATGATGGATTTTATATTAACGAGGCGGCAATTAGCAGCTAGCGGCTAGCTAGTAATTATGCTAATGTGACATCAATCGTTATGTACTTATATTACGCTGTAACAGGATCTAGTGATATCCAACAGAGCTTCATTTAGCATGAAAGAATTATTGCACTGTATATATATATATGTACAGTGCAATAAGCTTCTTAGTGCAATAATAAACTACAGGGACGTTAATCTAACGTCGGTAATATTAACTTTATTTATTACAACATTTACGGTACAACATTTGCATCATACAGCCCATAGTATAATATTTTACAAATTATGAATTACAGCAAACATGTGAAATATATCCATTATTACAGCTCCGTGGGATGGCAGTAAGGCGATATGGGTCCGTTGTTATTGTGCTTCCATGGGTAAAGATAAACGCATGTAGTGCTGAACATGTAACTTGAATGTGCCGGGCGGCGCGGTCCTGTGGGTTAGATGCGCATTCATAATGCAGAGGGAAATAACTCGCAGAATAACGTTATTAGCACATTTTTACAACTTGAGGAACGAATGTTTTTAATAAGGGTGAACAAAGTATGAACAAGTGTTCATACTGGGTTGTTTATTTAGTTTAAAAAAAATTATCCAACGAGTTACAGACCACTCTTTCCCAATGTAAGTCAATGGGAAAAAGTGTTTCCGGGCCCAGCAACCTAAAAGGAAGTGTAGTACCGCCGTTTGGCCACTACGAATATTCTCATCAGACTCCGGCGAACTTCCTGGGGGCTTGCGTCTATGGCTGCTTCTCAGGTCGATTAAATTAAATCCTTGCTTCCCTCACTTGCGTCGTTTCCCTGCGTTTAGTCCGCAAGGAAACCACGAGAAGCAGGGAAATGAGTTTTAAGAGCAATGGGCAGTGGCGGCCGGCCCATAGGGGCGCCGCCCCACCTCTTCCCACATTAAAAAAAAAATATTAAATAAAAAAAATAATATTTTTTTAAAAAAATATTTAAAAAATATATATATTTTATATTTTTATTTTTAATGAACAAGGTAAATATCATACAATAGGCTACATGCACAGTCACTTCCGCATTCTACTCATAGCGGCCGATTCATTTCCTGTTTGAAAATGACGACCTTCTACACCCGCTGCCTACAAGAGCTTCCGAAATTAAAAATGTCAGATGTTCATCGGATTTGCCGGACGACTAAAGCCCCAGCCAGCAAACTCGATAAAGGCTTCAAATTATATGCTGCGTCATATATACACAACTATGAAGGTAAGAAGGCAACCGGTACTAACCAGCTAGCTTTTGCTCCGGGTTACGCTAACATTAGCTGTCAAAAGCTAGGTAACGCCAGAGCCCTATAGTATAACTACTATTATTATTATTATTATACTACTACTATAGTAGACTACTATAGGGCTCTGGGTAAAGCTATGTACTGTTTCTGGTGTTAATTCTTTAAAACATTAGCCATTTTGCTAACAAATACTATCGTTTAATAGCCTTATAGCCTAGCCAAGGTTATCTTGTTGTTAGCCACACTGCATAATGGTATCAGCTTTTGTAAAGCAATGTTGCCATAGATGTGTTGACGTGAGTATAGATCTAACGCTGTTGCTCTGTTTTTCTTCATTCAGTGTCCAATAAAGACAGGCTGACAGGGCAGGTCAGCGTGAGAGCCTTGTGCTACAGGTCAATGCGGAAGAGCGAGACAGCACACAGTTTGAGTGTAGGCAGGCAGCATTGACACTGTTCCCCCCTGTTTATTGAGTTTCAGTTCAGTTAAACATTAGTTTACCTTAAGGGAATCTCAACAGTGTCCTACTTCTCCCTGCTTTATCACAGCTGATTGGTCAGATATTATTACATTGATTATGGATGTGTAAGTTTGGGGGTTCAAATATATAGTCAAAACTGCTTTAATACAATTTTCAAGGCATCTTAGTTTCCAAAGAAAGTTCATTGTGGTATTGTAGGGTAAGAGGGTAACACTAAGCATTCAGGAATACATGCTTCTTCTAGGATAATGGGTCAGTAAAAATAACCAATAATTCTACTCATAATAACCTCCTGGCTCATAGTAACAAGTGAGGTTACTAATCACTAGTATTTCTTCTCTCTTTTTTAGATAACGCTTCGTGATTCATCACCAGTGGTGCTCACGCACAACCAGTGCTCCTGTGTTGCAGGAACTGTTTTGTGCAATCACACAGTAGCATTGCTGTTCCAAACAGCACACTACACTGAACTGAACATGCCAGTTGTGCCACCTGTGCATAGCTGTACTGAATCGGAACAGCAATGGCACAAGCCGTGAACAATGGTAATTTCAATGAGGTTCAAATACTTGTAATCTTTCACAGAGTTTTTGTTTTAAAGTGACTCAACGAACAGTAATTGTCTTTTCCTTAAGGGTGTGAAGCCAGGGCCCATCAACTCCATGGTCTTCACCAAGCCTGTACCAAATAGGATGGTGCAGACTGGAGTAAGGTAATTTTAGCTGGAAAATTGTGTTTCCTGTGTTTTTAAAATTCATAATTCTGGTGCTGTATTCCTAACCTTTATTGTCACATTAATGTGCTATATTGTCTTTGCCATTCTTTGTAGGAGTGGATTCTACAGAGGCATGGTGGGGCCATTACCAGATCCCTGCCTGTTCAGAGTTACGGAGGCATACTCAGCATTCAGCATTGAAGACAGGCCGCTTGTGACCAGAATGAACATGAGACCTGACAAGCCCCTTGTGGAAAGTGCCTTCGGGATTGTGCAGGAGGGCAGTGTTCTGTCCTATCAGATGCCTGCTTTGACGTCTCGGTACACCACACTTCACACTGACACACCACCAACACCCCACTTGCCCATAGAGGGGTATGTGATCTTGCCATGTGATTTACCGCTGGTGTGCTCAGAAGAGGAGCAACTACATATGAACAGCTTATCTGTTGATTTGGAAATGTCTCACAAAATTGAGGAGGCTACCCGTGAGCAAAGCTCTAGCTCAGAGTGGCATCTGCTCCGCAAACCCAGGGTTACTGCCTCTAGGTTAAGAGAGATTTGTCACGTCAGAGGTGAGAGCTCTGCTAACTCTCTTGCAGAGCGAATACTCAAAGGTACAAGGCAGACTGCAGAAATGAGGAGAGGTGCCGAGATGGAGCCCACAGTAGCAGCTGAATACAGTAGACTGGCAAACGTGAACTACTCCCCTTGTGGCCTTGTCATTCACCCCTCTACGCCCTGGCTTGGTGCCTCCCCTGATGGAGTTGTTTTTGACCCAACAGAATATCCCCAATTTGGCCTTGTTGAATTCAAATGTCCCAATGTCCCAAATTATGTCGACTGCAAATATGTGCAGATGGAATGTGGCTCCCCTAAGCTCAAGAAAAGCCATGCCTATTACTGGCAAGTACAGGGTCAACTTCTTGTATCTGGGATGCAGTGGTGTGATTTTGTAGTGTGGGCACAAGAGGACTACCTGGTGCAAAGAATATACACAGATCCAGAAGTGCAAAGAGCAATCAGAGAAAAAGTAGACTTTTTTTTTTTTTACACATACATGCTGAAGTACCTGTCATTAAAAAAGTAGTGGGCACTGTAGCCATTGTTAACTCTGTAAGCAGTTAGCTGCTAGACCCTGGCTCAGCCGTCATTGTTTTTAGGAGGCAATCCCTCAATCATGTGTTCTGAATGACAACAAAATGTGATTTCAATATTTTGTTTTTGATATATATTGTTTGTCACATTTCATATATGTAAATAAATATACAATTGTATTTAAAAAGACAATAAAGTGAAGTGATTTGTGTAATGAATAGTAAATCAGTGCATTTGTAAGAAATCATCAACGCATTGTAATTTGCTATTTACCATTTATTCAAACAAAACACTAGCGTGTGTCAGGCAACACGGGATTACGGTGTGCTCACCCAGCTTAATCACAGCTACCTGCACAGGTGTCATCATCTTGTCTTATTTCACCCATTTCTTGACCAGTGCTTTGTTCTGATAGTTTGACAGCATACATGCTACTGCAAACAGTTGGTTGATGTTGTAGGCATGGGACAGGAGGATGACACCATCAAAAAGTTTGTTCTCTTTTATCCTCCTAATGACACGCTCCACATGAACCCTCAGTCTGGCAATGGCCTGTGTCTCCCTCACCTGATAGGCTGGCATTTGCTTCTGCTTTGACAGAAAAGGTGGGCAGTACACTTTGCATTTGCAGCAATCGCTGATCAGGAAGCCCTTATCTACCATCACTGCCATGTTTTCAGTCAACAACGCAGCTATTCCAGATTGTTTGAAAATCTCCTTGTCGCTGACAGAACCACAGACTGGAAACAAATGTCACTGCGCCATGTGGGGCTATGCCAACCAGGGCTTTCATGGTGCAGTGAGATTTGTATGTAGAATACATTTCACTTTGGAGGAGTGAGGATGGTGTTTGACACCTCAGCTCTGTGCAATCCAGGATCACCTGTGTGTCTGGGAAATCTTTGAATGCCTCTGGGAGGTGGGCTTGAACTTCTGCAGGTGTAAGCCAGATGCACTGTGACCCCAATAAAGTTGTAAGAAAACTCGTCCATGTTGCAATGATGCGGCTCACAGTGGACTGGTGTACGTTGAAGCGGTTTGCAAGGTCCCTCTCTTTCAAACCCACCGACAGGAAGCAGAGAAAAAGGAAGAACTCGTCAATTGGCTGAAGCAGCTGTCTCTGGAAGATAAACAAAAAAAGGGTACTATATTAATGTCATGAGTGTAGCACACCATGGGAAAAACATTAAGTTGTTTTAGTTCTCTGATGTATTCAAAAAGGATTGAGTACTATAGCCTTTTAGCCTACACGAAAGCAATGAAATGTTGGAGAAACATTTTCCCTTCAGTTTGTGTTTAGATTGTGTGTTAAAAGAAACGTAGCCTACCGTTGATGGACGTGCGTGTGTAACCACTTCTTCATTCCTCTTGGCAGCTGATATCGCTCTTGTAACACGAACCATTTTATAAATGGAAGGCTCAATCAAAAACCAGAAGGCCATCAGGTGGTTATAGCTCGGGAATCTGTACACAAAAGACACATGTCAGTCATTAATTGACTCGTTAACTGTAACACATGGGCTAATGCTTTCCTCTTGTTTGCTATAATACATTACAATTCAAATAGACTAAGAAGGCACTTGGTGCAGGTATAGTAATATACAGCAGTAACATGTAACAACTACATTAAAGCAGCAGTAATAATAATCTAAAACATACAGGGAACATTTTACACAGAATGACTACTTTTACTCTTCATTCTTAAGTGTGCAACTGGGAGAAACGCAGTGGATATTGACATGTACTTTTACTTTGGTAAGGTTTTGAAGATTTCCACTTGTAGTAAAGTATTATCAGTATGTTGTTAGTATTAGTATGTTTTACTCCACCACATTTAGTTAACCTTCATAGTTTCTAGTTACTTATGAAAACACATGATTTATGATTCTACATGTTCAGTTCAGGAGTATTTTCAAACCATAGTATTTGTACTTATACTTCAGTTAAGTTGAGTAGCCTACTTATTCCAACACTGCATGCAAATAGTCAGCAGTCAAACGGCAGGTAAACAGGATTCTTTATAAGCTAACCCATCTCAAAAACTTGGATAGAATTTAGCCAAAACATTACCTGGTATAGAATCGGATGTTGTCGTCGGAGCCAGCAAACCGCTGTAAGCAAAACTCTCGCTGGACTCTTAACTCCTGCAGTTGCTTCTGCAGATCCTCCAATGTTTTGGAGTTGTCTTCTGTAGCTTGAGAGGACATGTCCAGTGAAGCTGGTTCAGGGGTTGAGCAGTAATCATGGTCACGGACATCGATGTGCTCTTCCTGCTCCTCCCGAGAGACTGGTTCAGTGGGCCGCTCCCTTCTCTCCCAAACACTAGCCCGCGGTGTTTGAGCAATGAAGTGATTCCACTCAAACAGAGTTGGGACAGCACCTTTCACAAGCCTCCTACGGCCATCAATGGTTTTTGGCTCTATTAGTTGATCCGTAGCGAAGTGACGACTGCAGACCTTGGAATGAGAGTAGATTGTAAAGTTATCGCGTCGTATTTTAACCAGCCACTGTCTTCGCAGCTCGAGTTCGGTCGGAAAGCCATGGAAACTTAGGACGCCGTTGAATTTAGCTGACGCCGTACAAAGTGGGACACAGCAGTGCTCGGAGTAGTTCTTTACTTGTCTTTGCAAATGCTCCGTTTTGAAAATCTTCCGTCGACTCATATTTAAACCACAGATTTAAACAGTAAAACATTTGTGGACGCTCAGCTACGCAGACCAGAAGCAACCCGGAAGCGTCCGAGCAGTATAACGGCTAAGGCGGAAGTACGTCTCAGACCCTAGTGCATGTAGCCTATTGGTATCAGTAAAATGTATAATCTACAATAAAATCTTGTTTAAAATTGTGGTACGATGTCTAAAGTTACTGATAAGTCACATGTTTCCTGCCTGGCCTTGCCCATGGCATTAGTTTATCATTACCGGGTGGAGCCCCCGAGACAAACAGCAGCAACAAGCACTTGCAAAAGTCTCAATAGTAAACTGTGCCGCCGAAACATAATTTCAGCCAATCAGCGCCGTCAAATATTTTGGTCACGAGGGCGCTCACGTTGGCGCCCACGTTGCTTACGTGACGTGAGTTGTTTTTTAGACTCGTGAGTGACCAAGGTGACGCAGTATTTAGAATGGTGTGCAGGTGGAGTCGGCGGACCTCGGTCCGCACCCAATTCCGTGCAAGAACTACTCTCCAATCCTTTCCAAAGGAGAAGTTTGGGAGATAAATTGATACTTAAAGACCTTGGACCGGACCAACCCGATTTGTATATATCACAGCAAGCTCGTGAAAAAGACAAAACGTATCAACGAGGCTAGCTGGATGCAAACGATGCAAACAGGTAAATGCTATGTTTTGTTTCCCATGCTTGCTCTTCAAACAGCCGGGGACAGATACGATCTGTTCAGAAACTAGACAAAAGTTAAACAAGTACATGACACAGACTGTCTGTGTCATGGAGAATACAGTCGCTGGTTTATTTATGTCTGTATAGGCCGTTGTTGTGACAGTGGACGGTCGGAACATATATAACGTTAGCTTAGCCAAGCTCCATTCAGAAAACAAGCATTCTAAAAGGTTTTTCGCCTGCCGTCTGTCTGCAGACTTGTCAAAGCATTAATTCATGGTTTTTACTAACCGGTATCAGTAGGCTATGTTGTTACGTCGGCATCATTTAGAAACGTGTATTACAATTTAATCACGGTAAAATATGTTCATTTTGTTGTAGTTGTAGCTCCCGAGCCAGCCCGTCTTGTTTGAATGATGCGAGTAAACACAGCTGGCAGCCGCGGTGAAACTCGAGCGACTAGAGCGATGCGATAGGAGCGTTTAGAGCGAAGCGAATATTCGCATCGCGTCCGGTCTGAACGCAGCATTAAAGCGAGCTCCGCGCTGCACTGTAAACGCGCCATTACATCACCAGAAGTCCTAATTTAAGGGGTCATTTCTCCGCAAAACATTTTTTTTACTCACTATATCAAAAGCCCCACCAAAATTATTTTCCACCAGCCGCCACTGGCAATGGGACGTCCTTTCCTCCGTAGCGTCACGTGAAGCGACGTCCGTTTGTGATGACGCTACACAGCTGATCGTCTGACAGCAGCTCTGTCCCCGTTATTTCCACACACCCCCGCCTCTGTTAGTACACATTAGGCTTGTTTGAGACGCGTTGCGGCTCGCCTCGAAAGTAGACGAGAGTAACCGATCGCAGCCGGGGGAGGTCTCAAAAAGCTCGCCTGAAGTCGGACAGCTCGGAGTCGGCTTCGTCTTCTTCTTCTCTCGGTTTTTTGGCGGACTGCAAACAACTTTAAGGTGCATACCACCACCTCCGGAGTCGGCTTGACTCGGTTTGCATTTATAAAGAATGCACACATGTGTTTAATCGTTAATGTCAGATATGTACTAAGTAAATACATTTGTTCCTGCTCAAGATTAGATTCAACTTTATTGTTATTGCACATATTACAGGTACTGAGACAACGAAATGCAGTTTAGCTTCTAACTAGGTGCAAAAAGCAGTAAAGTGAAAAGTAATGTACACAATCTACAGAATAAAATATAGAATGAATTGAATGACGAATAAACTGTGAGGGGTATGAATACACTAGATATACACAGCAGCCTGAGAGCAGTATGAACAGTGTGTATGATGAATATGCTAAGATATATAAAGTATGAAAACGGTAAGCAATGCAAGTATAGTATAAAATATATGGATATTAATTTAATGATGATAAACATTGTGGAACAATGATGAAAAATGGGAATGGATGTGGCGACGTAAAACTGACACAAAACAACAACAAACTTTTGCCCAGCCAATTGGAGAGTTTCATCAGCAGCACGGGGTAAAAACCACCAATGAGCGCTCAGCTCGAGATACCAGCGAGTCGTTTCCCATCAAGCATTTAGCTTCCGCAGCCCGTGGAGAGGAACTGCGCCGCATCGCCGCGCCTCGCTCTCAAGGCTGCGGGCGTCTTTGTCCCGCGAGATTTCAACGTCTCATGTAGGCGAGCCTCCAGAGCAAGTCGGACAAAATGACGCACGAGCAAGACGTTGATCGAAATTGCGCAGGTCTGCGCAGGTCTCGCTTGTCTCAAACAAGCCTATTTACTGACACAAACATTTGTATCATCTGTTGTAGACCCCAATAAATAAAATAAAATAAGAACTAATTCTCAAAAAAGATAAACGCCATTCTTAAAATGTATAAACGAACAATAGTTTGATTAATATTGATTAGAGTGCACAATAGAAATAAAATAATTGAGAGACGAAAAAGAGATATGTTATCTATCAAAACCCAGTTAGATTAACATTCATTGGATTGCACACTTTGTTTGTTTGTTTGGATATGTGGTAAATTAACATTTCAATAGCACTTAATGACTGACTGAATGGAAATGACAATAAATGAAAATGTAAAACGAAAAAAGCGATCATGAAAATGTTTCCAAAAAATGAATTAAATGATTTTTGACCACTTTGTTGTTCAGATCAGGGTTTCCGCTAGGATTTTTTCTCGCCGGTCAAATGTCCGGGCAGAATTTATTTTACCGGACAAATTTGAAACTTACCGGTCATATTTCAATAATAATAATAAGAGTTGTGTTGCAGAGTTTCCGTTAGCAGGTAATTACCGGACTATGAGCAGATATGCTGATGTTTAAAACTCAGTTCACGGGGCTCATTTTTATATTGCTTCAGTTTATAATTGTAACAGATCGAAAAATGCAGCTTCATTTTTCAATAAATTATTCCACAAACAACAAACAACATAATTATTACATTCAAACTAACTACTTGTAGTAGATAACGTACATTATTCAAAAGTTTACATCAACTTTGAATAATAACACGGGAGAAACGGATCCTCTCTTTTCCCCTCTCCCTCCCTCTCTCTCCTGACAGCCCGTCAGTTTCTCATGCAGCTCCTGCAGCTCGCTAAACAGTGGGCGGGGCTTCAGGTGATCATGCAGAGCTGCGTGTCTCGGTCTGACTCAGCAGCTGATCTGATCTCTCTCGCGTCCGGTTATACTTCACTCTCGTTTATGTCCATATCGATCAGATCTCCTGATCGGCCTTTATAGAGAGCACCGATCAAACTATTAAGAGTGAATATCGGCCGATAATGACCGGCGGCCGATCTATCGGAGCATCCCTAATTATTACCAGACATTTTGACCGGCAGGTTTTGAATTTACCGGTTTTTAATAAATTTTACCAGCTAAAAACCGGTAATTACCGGCTAACGGAAACCCTGGTTCAGATATATCACATATTTGTAACTAAATGATACATGAATTGAAACAAAACACCGTATAAACTGAGGAGTGACTCCCGTGAGATTCATGTATTTTCTTCACTCTGCTCTCATGTCAAGAAGCATCAGTGCATGCACTGCCTCGTCCAATCAGTGAGCGATACACAGTAAGGGGGCGGGGTGAGTATCTGAGGATTTCATCGGAGGATGGTCTGGTGGTTCCTCGGTTATCGTTCCTCCATGATCGCTCCTCGCTCCTCGCTCCTCGATCCTCCGGCAGAAATAAGAGCCATGGGACGGTACTCAAGATGGCGCAGGCAAATCAACTTCCGTTGAGACCAGGGGCGTCGCCTGGACCTGGAAACATTCGGGGCTTAGCCCACAGTGGCGGCGCTACAGTCGAATTTTCTACTGCAAGACTCTCCACACGCACATACACAATTGCGCCATCTGGTGTCACAAACGTGTGCCTGCATTAGCTTTGTTACGGCAATGCATTGTGGGAGATTCTCATAGCACGTGAGGATCTCTTGAGGGTAAGGTGCCTGTATTATCTCGGTGGACAAAATGTATGTTTTTATTTTATAAGGACAATAACGTACTGTTGTGTTTGTTTAGTGTAATGTTAATTGTTTAATGCTCACAGACACAGCAACATGTTTTTAGTGTGATTGGCTATTTGTTTTATGATTTATCAACGTGATCATCAATAGCTAATCTGAGCACCAGAACCCAGCTCACGTGTCCTTTTATGCTGTCCATTGAAATGCAGGTATGTGAGTTTTGTTCACCAGTTTATTTATGTGTAATGTTTCACATTTCCTCCACATGATGCCTCGACTACAAAGTCTTCCATGTTTCTATGCTTCTTCCTCTGTGTCACAGTTTCGGGAATATCAAGATCATTGCACAGGGCCTTGGTCTTGTCATAGACCTCATGTGCTTTCTCGTTACTTTGGTAACTTTTCAGTGTGTTCTCAACTGCTGTTTTGTAATCTACTGCCTGCACCAAGTCAAGTGTTTCTTTCTGCAGGTATTTGTGCAGGCCCTGAGTGGTTGAGAGCAGTGTCTGGAACATGACAGCATGTAGATGGTACTGCATTTTCAAAGCTTGCTTTCCAGTCCCTTTGCTAGAGGGGCTGAAAGGCTCCCTAAAGTCTTGATCAAAGCAGGGAGGTTTTTGACATGCCCAGCGAACAAGTTGTTTGTCTCCTACCTCTAGCTGTTTCTGAAATGTTTGCAATCTCTGATGGTGGACAAGAGATGTGGAGAAGAAAGAGTAGAGACACTCCAGGAGATCAACGCAGGTATGTGAGTTTTATATGAGTTTGTATACGTTTAATGTTTCACATTGCTTGTGAATATACTACCACTATACGATCACTGATGTTTTGTTGTTGACTGGACACTTATTTTGTAAAAGAGATAGCATGAGAGGATCTCTTAAGGCCCTGTCACACTGTCCCAAAATTGACACCCGAATATGGAATTGTGAATTTCGCACGAAGATGGCCCCGAACCACACACGAAGGCAACATTTACATTACATTTAAGACATACAACTGCAATGAAAGTACCAAAAACAATGATGTTACAGTACTATGATACTGTACTGATATCTTCAGACTTTGTTCTTTACTTTATCCGTCGTTATATGTAGAAAATATTACGTTTTCTCCGTAATGTTGTTTCCATAACAACAACAACTTCCTGTCAACTGTCCTTCAAAATAATATATTATATCCTTTTTAGTTTCACAGAACACAAATTGGGTTATTTACATAATATATTTACATGATTTTGTTGTGCAATAAAACAACCCGATGGACACACGATAAAGGAAATGTTCAAATTCGGCTGTGATCGTAGCAACATCGGGCCATTCGTGAGGGCATCTTAAGCCATCATATGACCGCCGGTGGAGTTTCTCAGGCTCCGGCAGCAACTTCGTGAGCGGTGGCAAAATCTTTGGCATGCCAAAAAATTGCCGAAGGACCTTGCGAAGGTTCATTTTCGTGTTGAATTTGTGTGTCAATTTTGCCCTTCGTAAGGCCATCGTGAGGGCATCTTGTTATCATCGGTGCCATCGGGCATTCGCCCCGATCAGAGTGAGGGTGAATGCACCGATGATAACACGAAGATGACACGATTTGACAAGATGCCCTCACGAGTGCCTTACGAAGTTGCCGCTCACGAAGTTGCTGCCGGAGCCTGAGAAACTCCACCGGCGGTCATACGATGGCTTAGATGCCCTCACGAATGGCCCGATGTTGCTACGATCACAGCCGAATTTGAACATTTCCTTTATCGTGTGTCCATCGGGTGTCAATTTCGGGACAGTGTGACAGGGCCTTTAAGCAATGCAGCTCACGTGTCCTTTTTATATGCTGTCCATTGAAATGCAGGAAAGTAATCACCAGCTCTGAGTGATCTGTTGCCGAGGGGACACTACACCGGAGTTACATAAGCAGAGATAAAGTGCTCTTTTGGGGGGAACTCACCTCCTCTGGGGTCCCCCAGGAAGACTTTTTTTAAATATTGAAGTTAAAAGCATCAATCTTGTGCACTTTGAGAGCAACATTAAGAGATATGGATACATCTCTCAACACCCATATGTCAAAAAGAAATCAAAGAATCAGAAACGGGTTTATTATTTAAAAACACTTCATTTTCCAATTAAATCATAAACTATGTCAAATTATTAGAAGTTGTTAGTAATCAGATTAAACAGAAAAAAGGGATGGAAGGAGGAAATAATAATCCCTCATCACTTGCTGTTTGCGGTTGAAATGATCTCTTTTGCTGGCCAAACATGCTGGATGGAAAGCAGTGATGTCTCACTTGCCTTGGCCCTGTATCTGCAGTCCCTAAATCATTCATGTTACCCATTGACTCTTGTCTGTTCTGGTGTTCCTGTTCATTGTTGTCTCCATTGTCATTCTTGTCTGTTGTATCTCCTTGTGTGTCCCTTTCTCCTGTTCTCCTTTCTTCATCCTCTACTCTGTTTGGCTCATCTGTGATGACTGTGTAGGTAAACACAAACAAGTATGTAAGTCAATCAGTTTCCAGCTCTGTCAAATAAATGAATTTCAAGATACACAAATGTGTCTTCATTAAAATGAGTGTCACCACACTCTCACAAAATGTAATACTAACCAATTGAAAATAGTTAAATTTACATTGGAAACCTCTTGTAGATATCACTATTAAGAGAATTTATCTGCCAATAGGACAGAATCATTCCTATACAAATGCAGTTTGAGTAATTCACTTAATATATTCACTTAACACTTTAATATAGTCATTTTCACTTAATACTCTAATATAGTCATCTTTCTGGATTCAACACTAAGGAAAGCTGTACAATTTGAGATGATAATGAGGAAAAAAGGCCTCCAACAATGCAGATCATTTTTTGATCATATCAATTTTAAGATGGGGGTCAAGGCTTAATATTTGGGAGCATAGTGTCCCTTCCCCCTTTCAGGAGCCCCACTGGATTAGCTTTGATCTGAAAGCTTGTTAGCTGGCTGTCCATCTCATAATGTTCACATAGAAACTAGCTGTCAATAGGAAATATCAATCAGAAGAATTATATTTTCATGCAAAAATCTGTCATAAAAAGAGGTGGCACATTTAAATGCAGGTGTTGTTATGGCAACGTCAGTGGCCAAACAGCCACATTTACTGCTGCAAATACGTTCAAACATGCTGTTGACACGTAAAGCAGTGGCAACTATGCCACCATTTCAGCTGACTTTTTCTCAGAAATACTGTCACATAACATCCATATATATTTCAGTGCTAGGTTGATGCTTAGCTATGCTAACTATGAAACACTTTAACTGACAGGACTCAGGATCAACTGTGTACTGTTGTACTGCTAAAGCCCCGGATGCCTACCCCAGGCGACGCCCCTGGTTGAGACCGAGGACCGAGGAGCGAGGAAATGAAAATAGTCGACCTGAGAAGCAGCCTATCCCTTTTCTTCGTGTGGGTGTGGCAAGCCCCCAGGAAGTGCGCCGGAGTCTGATGAGAATATTCGTAGTGGCCAAACGGCGGTACTACACTTCCGTTTGGTTTCTGGGCCCGGAAACACTTTTTCCCATTGACTTACATGGGGAAAGAGTGGTCTGTAACTCGTTGGATACTTTTTTAAAAACTAAATAAACAACCCAGTATGAAGACTTGTATAGCCCTTATTAAAAACATTCGTTCCTCAAGTTGTAAAAATGTGCTAATAACGTTATTCTGAGAGTTATTTCCCTCGGCATTATGAACGCGCATCTAACCCACGGGACCGCGCTGCCCGGCACGTTCATGTGATGTGACGTGTTCAGCACCTCCCCCTTCACACGCGGTCACGTTCAGTGTTCACTGTCACGTCACTGAGGCTAAAGAGACAACGCTTTATATATACAGTCTATGCTAACAACCGACAACAGTTTGCTCCAAAAGGTAAGATACGAAAACATATTTATTTTCTAACCTGCCTCCTTAATGTCTGTATGTAATGTACTGTAACATGTTCTCATATAAAAGAGTAAAATAAGCCAAACCACTCATCAGCAACCGCTACTGTGGCTAAGCTAATGTTGGGTGTTTGCACAGTAATTTTCCATACTTTTCATAGTTAACCAAAATGCTAGAAATGTATGCATGCCAGCAGTTCTGCAATGTTAACTCTGTATGCATTAGCTAACTTTCTAGAAACCAGACTTTGCATTTATAATTCGTTTTATATATATATATATATATTTCTATTTAAAATCTATAAATGTGAGATGAAAAAACTAAAAATGACATAATTATATTATATTTTCACAACTAATTTCCAATGCAATGTCCCTACCATTGTAAACGACGATGCATACAGAATCTTCAAGAACACATATTATTTTAAAGAGGCGTGAAGAGCTAATCATTTGTACTTTATTTATAGATGGCAGAAATAGCCGGATCGTCATCCAGAGAGGAAATCCTGAAGGAAAGTGGGCCTCCCGCCATACTTGGACAAGGTGCTGTATAGTTTTTATAAGAATTGTTATTCATTTTGTTTCAGTAATTTTTTGATTGCATACCCTTTACTTTCATATGGCAAAAACAAATATATTGTACCTTATTTTTACATCTGATAAGGGAAATCAGTTGATTGTGACCTTATCACAAAAAGTCAGTGACTTGATACATCCTGCTTCGTAATAATGTATGAAATCGTCATGCATTATTTAATGTAATATTAATATATAATCTTAATCCTTATAAAGTTTCATCATGATTCTATATACAAGTATAGAGTTATATGTAATATAATATACAAATTAAACTTGTGTAGTCTTAAAAATATGATGAAAATGATATGACAACTCAGGCTACATGTACCGCCTTTTTCTAAAAGATGATCACCAGTAACCACTTTTTACTTTTTCAATATATTTTATTCTATCTAGGTCCCAATGTGTGGATAATAGGGAGCAGCTACGTTAGACGTGGGGAAGAAAGAGCCAGACACACCATGGGAAGCAACCTGGGTCTCAATTGCCGTGTGTGGTGGTTTGGCAAGGGTGGTCTGAGGTGGAGGAACCTTCTTCCCTTTTTCTATTAGTCCTTGAGAGGAAGAACAGTCCCGGATGTCCTGCTCATCCACTGTGGCGGCAACGACCTTGGCAACATCAAAGGTGTGGAGCTTGTCACAGCGATGAAGCAGGACCTGCTTTCCCTCAGTGACAACTTCTCAGAGATGAAGATAATTCTATCTTCTATCAATGAGAGATGTCACTGGAGGAAAGCCAATCCGGGAAAGCTGAACAAGGCCAGAATGTGGGTGAACAGAGAGATGGGTAAATGTGTTAGTGGTTTGGGTAGAGTGTAAGGCATCCTTGCATTAAGTTTGACTGCCCTGGCATATTTCTAAGAGATGGAGTTCATTTCACCAATTTGGGAAATTATTTGTTTTTAAGTAACCTTAAACAGTCCCTTGAGGCTACAATCTAAAGTGGTTCTGCATTTTGGATTCTAGCCTCAACAGGATATGTATATTTAACAAGAATAACTTTTAAATTTGACAGGGCAGTCCTCCTTGTAAGGATGTCTTCACTTACTCACACTATTTTTTTTTAATTTAATTAAATTGTTCACTCACATTCTGTGTTCTTCCTCTCTCTTAAACTTTAGTCCCCTTGTCTTTTTCTCTCTTTCCCTCACTCATCTTAGTCCCCTTGTCTTTTTCTCTCTTTCCCTCACTCATCTTAGTCCCCTTGTCTTTTTCTCTCTTTCCCTCACTCATCTTAGTCCCCTTGTCTTTTTCTCTCTTTCCCTCACTCATCTTAGTCCCCTTGTCTTTTTCTCTCTTTCCCTCACTCATTTTAGTCCCCCTGTTTTGTTTCTCTCTTTCCCTCACTCATCTTCCCCAGCCTCCCCAGCCTCACCCAGACGACGAGACGGCGTACAAAGAGGAGGTCGAAAACCTGACATCTTGGTGCCAGGATAACAACCTCCATCTCAACGTCAGCAAAACCAAGGAGCTGATTGTGGATTGCAGGAAGCAGCAAAGAGAGAGACACGCCCCCCATCGCCATCAATGGGACTACGGTAGAGAGAGTCAGCAGCTTCAGGTTCCTCAGTGTCCATCACGGACACGGCTGCATCACGGCCCGTTACGGCAGCTGCACCGCCCTCAATCGTAAGGCTTTCCAAAGGGTGGTGAAAACCGCACAGAACATCACCAGGGCGGAGCTGCCATCCATGGAGGACCTTTACTCCCAGCGGCTCAGGAAGAAAGCCCTCAGTTTATGTTTATGTTTATTTTAGAAATGTTTTGGCACATTTGTTCCTATTCTGCTAATGGTATATTGCAGGATATTTAAGTCTCCCATGTACTTTTTAAATTAATAATAGTATGTTCATCTTGATGTTTAACTTGTAATATTGTAATCATCTTAGTTAGAAATGCTGTTTCCACCCCATCCTCTGCTGCTGAATGATTTTATATATTGTTACTTAAAGTGCTTGTCTTTGATATTATAATGATTACACCAGAAAGTCACTCTTTGTGAGATTTATTTGTTCACATTTTTCCCAGCCACAAGATGATGTTCATTCATTGGAGGCCTCAAAGCTGGGTGAAGGTATTGATGCACGGATCAATGCAATCCTTTACAACAGCATTCCACTATGGTTGGGGATGTCTGTAAAAAAAGGAGAAATAATCTTAAACCAAATAAGTGTTGCAATATAGGGAAACAAACTGACAAAAACATCAATTAGATCAGAATACATTGACATTGTTACAGCAGAAAAGAGCCAAATACAGCCTAATGTTACTTAAAGTATGCATACAAAAAGTATTAAAGATTCAAAACAAGAAATTATAATTAAAAACAAATACACATTTCACAAAATACACATCCAGCAACAACAGTTTGGAGGATTTAGCAGCCTGGTATATTACACAGTTTTAGCGGCATATTTATATATATATATATTTATATATATATACACATGGTTGGTATTTAACAACAAGGGGTGTTGTACTGTGATATTGATATTTATGGGAACATTTTACACCTTTCCTTCAAGTATTATAAGTTTTAGTTACTTGTGGGTTACTTAACATGAATAATCACAGTTACTATCCTTTTACTCCATCACATTTCAAAAAGAAATAGGATATTGTTATTTTAACTCCACCACAGTAATCCATCATCAGCTTTACTTTTTAGATAAAGTTTTAACTCACAATTGATCATAACAGGCTTCAACATATACATTTGTATATATTACCAAGTGGTTTCATGTACAACCCACACAAGTATCATGCTAAATGAAGCTCTGTTGCTTGGATATCACTAGTTCCTGATGTCAGCGTAATATAAAAGTACATAACGATTGATGTGTAAGTTAGTATCATTTACTAGCTAGCCGCTAGCTGCTAACTGCCGCCTCGTTAATATAAATCTAGTACCATGCTGTCATGAACGCGCGGTACTGTTACGTGTACGCAAATCCACGTGCTTAATGTGAACGAGCCTTTTGGGCGGCGTGGTTAAAGTTGCACATGCTCTATGAGTGCACATCATGGATGTATAATAACTGGATACAGCGTGGGAGGCGGGGCCTCATTCATTCCTATGAGAGTTGCTCATTAGCGCATGATGATAAAATGGCCCAACTTTTGAGAGAGTGAAACGTCACAGATTACCCAGCATGCCTGAGAAGTACCCGTATGTGCGCTCATAGCGCATGCGCAACTTTAACCAAAATGCTCGTTCACATCAAGCACGTCAATTTGCGTACACGTAACAGCACCGTGCGTTCATGACAGCATGGTAATGATTTGTTATTATGATGCATTTGATATTAACGAGGCGGCAGTTAGCAGCTAGCGGCTAGCTAGTAATTATGCTAATGTGACATCAATCGTTATGCACTTATATTACGCTGTATCAGGATCTAGTGATATCCAACAGAGCTTCATTTAGCATGAAAAAATGATTGCACTGTGTATATATATACTTATAATAAAAATGTGACCTGCCCCACCGGGGAGGGGGGGGCTGCGATAATAAAAGGGGGTTAGGATACTTAACGCTAACCTGGGTTCCCCAATACGAGCCCTTAGGACAAGTCACGCAGATAAGAATAAAAAGATGGGCAGGGACGCGGCCTCAAGTTCAAATGTTTACAAACGTTTATTATATAAATAATCAAGTAAAAGTTCAGTAGTACAAAATGCAGATTAAAACTTATTCAGCTTTCTCAGTCGACACACATAAGTCCCACGATTGAAGGCTGGCTCTGACAAGGAGAGAATAACTATAATAATTACAATATCACACATAATGATAGTTAAAAAAAGTGATTCTTCTGCACAGTCTCTGCTGGGGCTGTCAAGAAGCCTGGCATTTACAGGCCACATGTTAACAATTCAGTGGTAGGCCTACACTGAATGTTACAAATCCTAACAGCAGCTTCACATACCTCGTATAGGGGGAATACACGCCTATCATAAGTAATATTAACTTTATTTAATACAACATTTACGGTACAAAATGTAATCATACAGCCCATGTAGTATGATAATGAATTACAGCAAACATGTGCAATATATCCATTATTACAGCTCCGTGGGATGGCAGTGAGACGATATGGGTCCGTTCTTATTGTGCATCCATGAGTAAAGATAAACGCAACTCACATTGGTTTCTCAAACAGCATCTCTGTAAACTACGTGTATTCACTGAATTTCACTCTCTGCCTTTAACGGCTCTTTGTAGCTCCAATAGCTCCAGCCCCACCCTCCCTGTGAGCACAGTGTGCTCTGATTGGTCGGGACCATAGACTGTATATATAAAGGTCGGGACACGTAACACGAACGTGCCGGGCGGCGCGGTCCCGTGGGTTAGATGCGCGTTCATAATGCAGAGGGAAATAACTCTCAGAATAACGTTATTAGCACATTATTACAACTTGAGGAACAAATGTTTTTAATAAGGGCTATACAAGTGTTCATACTGGGTAGTTTATTTAGTTTAAAAAAAATTATCCAACGATTTACAGACCACTCTTTCCCCATGTAAGTCAATGGGAAAAAGTGTTTCCGGGCCTGGCAACCAAACGGAAGTGTAGTACCGCCGTTTGGCCAGCACGAATATTTTCATCTGAGTCCGGCGCACTTCCTGGGGGCTTGGTGCACATACGGGTACTTCTCAGGCATGCCGGGTAATCTGTGACGTTTCGCTCTCTCAAAAGTTGGGCCATTTTGTCATCATGCGCTAATGAGCAACTCTCATAGGAATGAATGAGGCCCCGCCTCCCATGCTGTATCCAGTTCTTATTATACATCCATGGGTGTGGCCGGTCTTTTTTCTTCTTCGTGTGTGATTATTTGACAAATAAGAACCACACAACTGCATTAGTGACCTCTGTCGCCCTCTGTCGGCCGTCAGCGCAACTTAAATGATGACGTTAAAGATCAAATGCAAAGCTTCCAAATATGCTACATTTGTATAGAAATGTTGTTTTAAAGACTGCCTGTATTTTTTATTTAAATTAAATCGAGATAATACACCCGAAAAAAAAGCTTTTTATTGATACAAAACTCGACCCAAAGCCGTCTGAATTTCTGACATGTCATTCCCAGCAGCCTCCGCGCGCGTGACGTCATTTTGTACAAACAGTCTCTGGGCGAAATATCCCGACTCGGCAGTCTCGTGCGCTGTTCACATGTCAGCGGTGTTTTTCGCTCATGACTGGTGCAGAAAACTCTGAATTATATCCGCGAAATCACGTAAAACATGGGTTATTGTTGTGCTTTCGGATGTACGAACGGTGCGGGATCTGGGAGAAGTTTTCGTTCATTTCTCCAAGACAAAATCATCCGCCGAAACTGGATTATTTTAGTGAATCGTGTTGGCTGGCAGCCGACAAAATGGAGCAAGTTGTGCTCTGACCACTTCGCTTCTGATGCATACGATGTTGATCCTGCCATCGTCAAGTCTGTTGGTGGAGAAGCATTTAAAGTACATCGGAGGCTGAAACCCGGAGCCGTCCCCTCCATATTTGAGCACAAAAAACAACCGAAAGAACGAAAGAGCCGGGCAATGCAGAAACGCCAAAGAATTGAGGTAAACACATTTTGATTTGATTTTATTTCAAAGCGCACGGAGCACAGAGCGGACAGCAGATAACGGAATTGCAGTTGTATTGCTTATAGATTATCAGAACATTTCAAAGGGGACACCGCCCCATTGGATATTAACCATAGAGTGTATATATAAATGGACGTAGTGTCCGTGACGTCACCCATAGGATTCTGCAGAGTTGCCGTGAAGCCCTTAGTAGGCGGAGTCGGCCACTAACGGCTCGACTGTGACGTCGGAGTCTAATCCCGCCTGCTCCAAATAAGGGCAAAGAGGCGGAGCCTAGGCGGGACCTGCTGCCTCCGA